CCCACACCCTTTGAATCCATTCAGGGTCTGCATCCAACGGGACCGTTCCTGCTAACCTGTCTGTTGTTGACATTGAACTGCTTATCGGCTGATGGCACCTTTCCTGCAAGTAACATAAATCCCCATATGCCCCTTAGCATGATCCCCCCAGATACCTGCGAGCTGGCCGACCAGAACCCATGATTGGATTCCCCAGTTACAAGAAAAGGGGGAATGTAGGACCCTGAGACCCTCTTCATTCACCCGCTACCCCCCAATCCCTCCAGACCCCACTAATTGCTCTTTTAGATTCTGTAAAATGCTTGGTTGCTGCTTTAGGCATGCCTAGACATGCCCTGACATGTCCTGACCCCCACCTACTACCCCCCGCTTCAGGAAACTATAAGATTAAGCAAGCCCAGGCATGAAACCACCCTATAAGGTAAAAACAGAGACTCCTGGCCCCACAGATAACAGTCAGCACATTCCACAGCCCTGAGAATAGCACCTACCAATAAGAAACTTCCAGGGCTGCATCTTATATATCCAATCAGTTTAAAATTATGTTGGCGCGCGCGGGCTCCTTGAACCAACCAAAATGTATTTTTGGTATCCCCCTCCTCTCTTTGTCTAAAACCTATAAAAGGCTCCACTCTCCCTTACTCTGAGCTCTCAGCACGGATCCGTTGAGTTGATGAGGTCTGAGAGCCGGAGCTTAAGCCCGAATAAACCATAAACCTTTGCTTTTGCATTTTGGTGTGTTGGGTCCTTGCTGGTCTTTTTGGGGTCCAGTGGATGAGGTACAACATTAGCATAAACCTCAAACAGGAGAAAGCTTCTCTCCTTTGGGAAAAACCATACATGCCCAGGAGTGGTACAGCTAGGCCATATGGTTCTAGTTTTTTGTGAAACCTAGAGTCTAATTTCCAAAGAGGCTGCACTGGACATGATGGGGACTATGGGGAAAACTAAAGGGGAAAGTAGGGAGTAGTCATGTTCATATTTCATTGTGTGCATGTATGAAATTCTCAAAAATAATTTTTCAGAGGCTGGAGAAATGGCTCAGAGGTTAAGAGCACTGGTTGTTCTTGCAGAGGACCTTGCAGCACCCGCATGGCAGCTAACAAACATCTTTAATTCCAGTTCTAGGGGAGCTGATGCCCTCTTCTGTCCTCCACTGCACAACATGGGTGCACTTATACCCATGCAGGCATAAGACTCATACACATAAAATAAATTTTTAAAAAATTTTCCAAATTAAACATACATTGTAAAAATCATAAATTAGCTTACCTGCTTTCTTGAGATTAATCTATGCATTTTCTTAAAACATGATATGGTTATATTTTTAAAAACCAAACATGTACCAGCTTCAGGAGTTCCTTGCAATCACAGCAGTCAATTTATTTCAAAAACACACAATCAGCGTGCTGGTGCTAGGCAGCACCCCTCACCCAGCACCCACTGCCCACTTCCCAGCAGTTAGCTTTTTAGGACACAGCACTTTCCTTTCTAAAATGTTTACTACTTTCATGGAATATGAGGGCTAGGCCTTCACTTGGCTCACCTCCTGAACATCAGACGTTGATGTTATTGCTCACTCCTCTTTTACCTTTATCTATTCAGTATGTCTGACTGTGTGTGTATATGCCATGGCACACACAAAGAGGTCAGGGGACCACTTGTAGGAATCCATTCTCTCCTTCCACCATGTGGATTCTGGGGATCGAGCTCAGGTTGATCAGGCTTGGCAGCAAAACCCCTTTACCTGACTTTGAGTCATGTCACCACTGTTTATTTCTCTACACCAGAATTAAGTGACATAATTTTGCCAAGCCACATAGGCTCTCTTAGTGCAAATTTAAATTAAAATAAAAAACTTTTAAACTATCACCTAACTCTGGCTTGGAACTCCTTTTGAAATATATTATGAGATCGTTACTTCTACATACTATAATATTCGAAGGCTCATAATTAGCTTAACAGATGAATATGAAACCTGCTCCATACTGTATGTGTGTAACTTTAAAATTTGTAATTCAAGAGAGAATAGAAGGCATGTGACATGAAAGCAGAGTTGGGGTTATGTGGGAGTGGAGTAAAGTGGAGGGTTGGGAGAGCAGCAGGTAGGGGCTGACTGAGATAAGCACAATGACACCTATTTTTGAAATGTCATAATGATCCATTACTTTGTATGAAAACTTTTTTTTTGTCTTTTTGAGACAGCATCTCCCTGTAGCCCCAGCTGTCCTGGAACTCACTATGTAGACCAGGCTGGCCTTGAACTCACAGAGATCCGCCGGCCTCTGCCTCCCGAGTGCTGTGTACAAAAACTTTTAAAAAATAAATTAAATATACATTTACAAAATACATTTCAAAGCCAGGTGTGGTAGTGCACACCTTTAGTTCCAGCATTTGGGAGGCAGAGGCAGGTGGATCTTTGTGAGATTGAGGCTAGCCTGGTCTACATAATGAGTGTCAGGCCAGCTGGGCTACAGGGAGACCCTGTCTCAAAAAAGACCAAAAAAAAAAAAAAAAGTAGAAAATTCATTTCAGCATTGTGACTCCAGATTAACTTTGTCCCAGCTCCCCAGCTCCTCTTACTAGTTGAGGCTTCCATATATCTGTTCCACATTGGAAACAGTGTTCAAGGTGCCTCATCCTCACAATTCACATTCTCTTTCAATTCCATCCGCAAACCAAACCCTATTTGCCTTTCTTTAAATTTTATTTGTATTACTAAGCGAATAGAAAAAGGGTAACAAAAGGGAAAGTTCAGGATAAATACCTTTTTCCTTATGAACTAAAACGCATGCATACACGCATCTGAGTGAGCAACTTCCCACACAGTCCTATTACACAAACAGTTACACAAAGCAGTTCACAGGGAAAACGTGAGCCTGGGCAAGGGACTGCGGTGGTAAAGTTCCCGGCAGATTCTTGGTCTAGATCACCAGCTTCTCCACACTAAGTGTGCTCGTGGTTTCATCCTCTTCATTGGAGCCAAAGTATCCTGGGAGATCCAGCATCCTCTGCTCGGCCTCTGTGAGGCCAAATGAGGTATTGTCATAGAAGGCGAACTCAGGGTGAGACGGGAAGCTCTGACACTTGTCTTTTCTGCACTGAGAAGGGCTCAGCGGACTGACCCTCTGGTACCTATCTTTGGGGAAACTGGGGGAAGACTGCTTCCTTGAGACGCTCCTGTGACTGGGGGACGGTCCCCTTCGTGCTCTGTGAGGTTCTGTTTTCTCAGTTCCTGCCACTAATCCTGCCTGGCGGTCCCCCAGGTCTGGCTTCCTCGGGGGCTGTCCTACAGGGTAGGATTTGGGGAGAGGGCTCAAGGGACCGCCGGTCCGACCTGCCCCTTGGAAAGACTCTGGTTTCTCCGGAAGCAGATGCGCACCCCGACTAGGAGGCCTACACCTGTCGTCCTGGTCCCAGGTTCGCATCCTGGAAGCGTAGGTGGGAGCCTGGCGCGGGGTCAGAGTGGACATGCTCCTCTCCCGGAAAGGCCGGGACTGCTTGGTTTCGTGGAAACTGGCCGTCCTCCTGAAGTGGGAACTTCTGGAGTGGCATCTCTCGGACGAGCCCCCTCTCCCGCCAGTCTGCCTCATCTGTGACTTCCGGATCAGGGTCTGACTGGGGCTGATGGCACAGCTGGCCTGGGGCACGCTGAAATCCAGCCTGGAGGGGGGCCGGTCCCCTGCACTCGCCACCGGCTGGTCCAGAAAAGGAGACTTGATCCGGAACTTGCTTGCTGCTGCTTCTTCCGGGCTTTCCAGGTCCAAGGGGGCGCTGGCAGCAGCATCCACTGCAGTGTCGGTCAGCGGACTCTGAGACACGTGGTATACCTTGGTGGTCTCGGTCAGCCCTTTCTTCTTCATCTCCTTTAGCTGCTGCTGGGCTAGGCGGTAGCTGAACAGGGGTGGGATGATCTTTTGGGCGGTGGACTGAAAGCTCTCACTCCCAGAGGCCTCGTCCTCTGGAGTCACTGGCGTGCTGCGCCTGTAGGTCAGAGGGATGCCCGTGTCTCCTGGACTTCCCCCTGGCCCGTCATCGGAGAAGCTCCCCCGCTGCTCGCTCAGTTCGCAGATGTTCTCCTCATCCGAGTTCTTCCGGAAGCCAGGAGAGTGGATGGAGTTGTGTCGAGCAGGAGTGCTACATTTGGGGGACCTGCCGAACCTCCTCCAGAGAGTGATGAGCACTGTAGCGACGATAATGAACAAGCACAGAGATATCCCCGAGACAGTCACGATATTGTTGGACTTCACTGGACCCTGGGGCGGAAGAGGTGAGGGGCCTAAAGGCCTGAAAACTAAGAGGAAAAAAAGTGAAAATAAATGTATTTTTGTGTATGGATTTCTCTGCATGATTTTACCGCCTCTAAGTTAGTTGCTCCAATTATCACAGCAATTAAGGAGGAGGGAGAACCAAAGACTTGGAATCATGCTTACAAATGGATCTCTGCTAACAGCAGCATGGTAAACAAGCTGGCAAAAAGGTGACCAGTAAAGAGAAAATGCTGCAAAAATCTGGGACCACAAAAGGGAGGGGGACAGGAAAGCAACAAGCAAGACACGCTGTGCTCACTAGGCTCCTGCCAATGATGGCCAACTGACCTCAGCACTTCCCCTGTGGTTACTGCCTACTTTTCAAGTCCTTCCAGGCACCTGTTCTCTTTTTTCTTCAGTCTTACTCTGTGCTTCACCTACTCAGCCTGCTCCCACTCCTCCCCTTGTGCCTTTCTACTGTTCTCTAGAGGATTACAGACTCCTCATACTTAACTTCCCTTCAGAGGGAAGTCCATGTAGCCTCCTTGCCTTATCCAAGGCCTGTCCATTTCACAGGGTGCAGCTTTCTCCAACCCTTTCAGGTAGGAGGTGTTACACTTACCTCTCTTTTTAAAAGATTTATTTAGTTTTATGTGTGTATGTGTGTGGGGGGTGTTCATGTGCAAGAACTCTCAGAGGCCAGAAGAGGGCTCAGATCCCTTGGAGCTGGAGTTACAGGCAGTTGTGAGCTGCCTTGAGATGGGTGCTGGGAACTGAACTCCAGACCTCTGCAAGAACAGCAAGAGCTCCGTGATGATTAATCATGGTTTTCATTTTGTCACACCTGGAAAGAAGGAACCTCAATTGAGGAATTTCCTTCATCGGGTTGGCCTGTGGGCATGTCTGTGGGGTACTTTTTTGATTTGAATTGATGTAAGAGGATCCAGCCCTCTGTGGGACGTGTGGGCAGGCAAATCTGGGTTGTATAAGAAAGACAGCTGAGGGGCTGGAGAGTTGGCTCAGTGTTTAAGAGCACTGGCTGCTCTTGCAGAGGAACTAGGTTCGATTCCCAGCACCAATATCATGGCTAACAGTTGTCTATAACTCTGGTTCCAAAGGCTCCAACACTGCCAACACCAGTGTACTTACACACATGCAGGCAATACACTCACACACATAAAATAAAAATAATAAAAATATTTTATTTATTTATTTATTTATTTATTTATTTATTTTATTATTATTATTTTGGCCCTTTTGAAACAAAGTCTCCCTGGTCTCACTATGTAGACCAGGCTGGCCTTGAACTCACAGAGATCTGCCTGCCTCTGCCTCCCAAGTTCTGGGATTAAAGGCGTGCACCACCACACCTGGCTAAATAAAATATTTTTAAAAAAGAAACAGAAACAAACAAACAAAAAAAAATCAGAAAGGTAGCTGAACATGAGCCCGAGAGAGAAAGCCAGTAAACAACATGCCTCCATGGTCTGTGCTTCCGTTCCTGCCTCTAAGTTCTTGCCTTGAGTTCCTGCCTTGGCAATGACTGCAGAGGTCAGAAGGAGGCCTTGAATCCCTGGAACTGGAGTTATGAACATTTGTTAGCCACCATGTAGGTGCTGGGAATCTAACCTGAGTCCTCTGCAAAAGCAGCCAGTGCTCTTAACCACTGAGCCATCTCTCCAACCCCAGAAATAAGTTTTTTGTGGGTGGGGGTGGGGCCTGGAACTCACCATATAGACCAGGCTGGCCTTGAACGACGCACAGAGATCCACCTGCCTCTGCCTCCCAAGTGCTGAGATAAAAGGTGTACACCACCATGCCCGACCAGGAATAACAGTTTTAGGAGTGATTGATCCAGACTACCAAGAGAAACTAGACTGCTTCTCCACAATGGAGGTAAGGCAGATTATGTCCAGACTGTTGGTGATTCTTGAGAGTATCTCTTGGTATTACCATGTCCTGTGAGGAAGGGCAATGGGAAACTGTAACAATCCAATCCAGGCAAATGGCCCAGACCCCAGGGATGAATGTGTGGGTCACCCATCCAGGGAGAGAGCCAAGACCTGCTAAGGTGCTCCCTGAGGGTGGAGGAAATACAGAATGGGTAGTAGAGAAAGGTAGTTATAAATTCCAGCTAAAGCCCTGTGACCAGTTACAGAAACAAGGATTGAACTGACATGAGTGTTTCCGTCCTATTTTGTTAAGAACATGTTCTGGCATATACACACATACATTATGCAGATATGTGTGTTTTCTTTCCTTTTTAAAAAAAACATTATTTTTATTTTATGAGTGTATTGCCTGCATGTATGTGAGTGCACCCGTGTTGTGCAATGCCGTGGAGGTCAAAAGAGGGCTTTGGATTCCCCTGGAACTGGAGTTAAGGACAGTTCATAGCTGCCATGTGGGCGCTGGGAATCAAACCTGGCTTCTCTGCAAGAGCAGTCAGTGCTCTTAACCGATGAGCCATCTCTTCAGCCCACTTTCCTTTATTTTTTATCATATAATGTAATATCAATTAAGATAATATCAGTGGTTAAGTGTTGTAAATCTATATTATCATAGATTTTATAACTTTACTAAGTTATGAGACACTAAAAGATTAACATTCCTCAAGGAACTCTGCCACCTACTCTAAAAAATATAATGTGTTTGCAATTGTACATGGGATAGTTATATCATGTTAGGCAGAATTATGACCTTGCTATTGATTTCATTTGGAAATTAAGCATGACATAAGATGTCAAGTTGACAAGGGGTGGACTTGTGATAACTAATCTTGGTTGTCAGGTTGACTGGATCTGGAATCAACTAAAGTCACTAGGCACTCCAATGAGGGATATTTTAAATCAGATTATCTGAATCAGGATGACCCACCCTAAGTGGGCAGCCCAGATAAAAGGACAAGGAAGAAGGCCTCGCCTTCATGCCTGCTCACCTTCATGCCTGCTCGCCTTCATGCTTGTCTTCATGCTTGCTGGCAAGTTCATCTATCCTATTGCTGCAGCATTCCTTCACTAAGAGTAGAACCCGCTTTTTCAGGCTTCCAACACAGACTGAACACCAAAAGATCCTCAAGAATCCTCCATGCCTTCAGCACCAGATTGAAAATGTTGAGACATCCAGTCTGTAGACTGAGCAACTACCGGATTCTCAGTTTGGGACTGCTGGGACATCTAGCCTGTAGACTGAACCTCTCCAGTGTGAGACAGCCATTGCTGGACTTCCTGGACCATACTGTATAAGCCAATCTAATAAATCCCCTTTTAATACATATGTAGATTCATTCTATCAGTTCTATTCCTTTAGAGAACCCTGACTAATACATGCTCTTAACCAGAGTCATCTCTCCAGTCCTTACACATAGTTCTTTACAAGCAAATAGAGTCAGCAGCAGAGTGTGTCCCCAGTCTCATTCCCCACTGTCATGAAACTTCTACTCCACTGATGTCCATACCACCATCTAGATCACCTTTCTGCCACCTCTCCCACCATTATCTCCCAGCACCCCTCCACACACACAGATCTGAATCTCTCCAGCACTTGGGCCCCAGTCTTCCTTGCCATCCCCAGAGCTAAGGCCATTCCAGCAACTTCAGGATCTATCCAATTCACGGGACTTTGCCACTGTCTACAGCCACTCTTTTTCCAGGATTTTTTTTTCACTGCTGAGGATCAAATCTGGGATCTCATTCATGTTAGTCAAACATTCTACCACTGAGCTACAACTCTAGACTCTTTCTTCTGCAGTCTTAACCTCCATGGCCCACTCTCTAGCTATGTCTACCTCTATCACTTTTGGGCCTTTTGGCTAAGATCAAGTATCTACCTGTCTCATCCATCTGTGGTTCCATACTGTATCATTCAAACTCACTGAGACGTCCAGTTCTCCATCCCTCTCTTTCTTCCTAATGCCAGCTTCCTCCTGCCCTCACTTCTGGTCCTAATCAACTCACACCTATGATCACTGCTGAACCCAATGTCTTTAATACCTCAACTCTCTGGACTTCTATGGCTAAGCTACACTCCCACCACTACACTGAAGCAAAAGTCCTTCCTAAACAAACTTAGGCAGGTGAATTCTCAGCTGCTATACCCAGTCATGAGTACTGGCAGAGAAAAAACAATCACATGGCTTTGCAGTCCAGTGCCTCTGCATATTCACAGTATCCAACCTCAGCATCCTATAAAGTCTCTGCAGGGGGTTTTAAGCAACTCTCTAGTCCCCTAAAATGCCAGCTTTCAATTCATCATTTCCTCAAGCCCTCTGCCCAATCTGCTTCCTCAGCAGCCTGATGGATCACAAACAATTAAAAGCCATTGGGTAATATGAATCCAGCCTCTTCTGCCATCCTCCCTGTCCCCATAAACACAGTATCAGCTGCATCTCTGTTGGTGTCTTTCTCACACAAACAGGGGAACAAATGTCCTCCTAAAAAATGTGAGTCCACCCACAAATGCTCTCTATGCCATCCTTCCCAAAGGGTCATCCCTCTGACCAATCATCCCCAGGCTTTTCTGTGCAGCTCCTTTTTCTCAGCACAGAAACACATGCAAGCTCTTCTGACCTTAAAAAGACACTTCTCCAGCCCTTGCATAGCCCCAGCCAATCTTACTGCTTCTCTTCCCAGCTGTGCTTACCAGAAAGGGCGCCACACTTACTGACATACTGCTCATCTCTGTCTACTGCAAACTGTCCCCAGTACTGCAATGAAACGGTTCTCCCCACCATCACAAAGACCTCTTAATAGCCAAATGTATAGCTCAGCCTATGGTACTGTCTACCATTAGGTACCTCTTTCAACTCTCCCACTTCTTTCAATGATAACACTCACTTCATTGGTTTATAGAAAAAAGCATGAACTTTGAACCATGACTGTCTATATCTGATGTCCTTCTAGGGGCTGAATCCAGGGAATCACACATCTAATTGCTCTTATCTCTGAGCTACATCCCTAGCCCTTTATCATCCTCCCCCGAACCTGTGCTTTCTCCTGATAACCTAATCTTAAGGGACTATGGTACCATAGGCTATGCAGTGGTTTGTACTAGAATCCTGGCTTTCATTCTTTATGCCTGTCTGCCATGTGCCACATCCAGAGGTTTGGCATTCCCCCCTCCCTGCATCCCTATGCCACTACTTGAGTTTCTCTTAGTCACTGAAAAATTCACAGGTACTTCTTTGCTACACCCGTTCTTTTTATTTGTATCCACATTACAGCCAGAGATCCCTCTAAAAGAAAGGTCCACACCTTTCAGGCCCATTAGGTCCTGGCCCCTATCTACCTGGCCTTGTTCTTCCCCTCCTCCTGGCACACCATCTTCTAGCCACAGTGAACTATTTGCAGACTTTCATGTTTTTTCATGCCTTCGGTTACTGTTCCTTTAATAAAAGTCCCTTGCCTATCTCATTCACCTGGATGGTACAGTCTCAGCTCTCAAACTGCAGCTTAAATATCACCTGCTCTAAGAACTGAATTCTTGCCAGCATGGATGATCACCCTGTGAGTCTCCATAGAAAGATGTGGGTACTTCTATCAGTTCAGGCTTTATATTGTATTATGCTTCTTTCTGTATCTTCGAGGCTACTAAATCATAAGCCCCTTCATGAAAAGGATATGTCTTATAAGTAAATTCAATATACTTCAAATACCAATCAAGAGTTCACTGTAACTTGCACATAGTTAGTAGCCAATAAACATTAGTTTAATTCATTCATTATTTAAAAGAATAATAGCAAAATGATCACCATTATACCAGATGAAACGTGCCTACCATAGCAATGGGATCCTACTCTCTTGTTGAACAAGAGACCAAATTAATGCATAGCTACACTCAGACATTGGCATAAAAATTCTTCTAAAACCAAACAAAACTCTGGGTCCCCAAACCAGTGAAAAAAGGTGGTGAAAGCTTTGTTCCCTGCGTTATTGCTTCTTTCACTGGCAGCTGCTACTGATCACAGAGTGAAGGAGTGCTCCTAGAACACTTCACAAAATGCTCTTAGTTCTGTTATCTTCCCTGATTGGCAGCTCTGAAAACCACGCTGGAGAAGAGTTGCTGGCCTAGTCCATTCCTACCCCATCTAATCCCTCCTGAGTTACCTAAAGTGTCGGAGATCCCCCTGATACTAAACAGATCTTTACATCTCTGAGAAGTGGCAAACAGAACAGGAAGAGAATACTTAGAAGGACCATTTTATTCAACTAAGCATTTGTCTCAAGCCCTCGGTGTGCAAACAGGGCTGTTTTTAGCACTTAACTTGTCTTAAGACCAGACCCTACCCAATATGACAGAATTAAGATGCCAGAACATGAAATAAAATCATATTTCCTCAAAATGATTGCCAGTTGCAGTTATTCGTCCAGAAAGATGCTTCTTCCAGAAAGCCACATTGGCTTGAATTATAAAGGCAAAGTATTGAAGCTGCTTATTATGGAGTCAGCACTAATCTCCTTGATTCCTCATTTTGTGACTTTGGGCAGGTCACCTCCATGCCCCAGAGTTCTCATCTGAAATGTGGAGATGAGAGCATATAGTCTTCACTTAATATGTGGGGATTGGTTCCAGGACCCCTGGGAACATCAGACTCTGCAGGCATCTATAAAATGGTGTAGGACATGCATAGACCCAAACATATCCTCTTGCATTTTTTAGGTTACTCATAACACCTAGTATAATGTAAATACTATGTAATTAGTTGTCATAGCACATTGTTTACAGAGTAATGATAAGAAAAATGTGTAAGGGGGACTAGAGAGATGGCTCATCAGTGAAAAGCACTGGTTACTCTTGCAGAAGACCTTGGTTTGATTTCCCAGCATCCACATGGTGACTAACAGCAGACTGTAGCTCCAGTTCCAGGGAATCCAACACCTTCTTTTAACCTCCTCAGGCACTGCATGACACGGGTACACCTACATACATGTAAGCAATACACTCATACACATAAAAAATTAAAAATAATAAATAAAATACTTTTTTTACAAAAGAAAAGAAAATGCCTAAGGTCGGCATGATGACTCAGTAGATAAGAGCATTTGCCATAGACCCTGACAACCTGAGTTCTATCACAGGATGAAAAGAGAGAAAAAAACTCTTTCACGTTGTCCTCTGACCTCTACACACATACCACAGCATACACACACACAATTTTTCAAATGTAAGAATAAAGAAAAAATATCTGTACATGTTCAGTGCAGATACAATTTCTTTTATGAATACATTCTACCCAGTTAGTTGAATCTATAGATAAGTAACCCAGAGATGCAGGGATAGCTATCCCTACATCAGATATACAAGTCACTTAGGAAAATGTCTGGCAAGCAGTAAGCCCTTGAGATTTGAAACCAACACAATAACACCTACTTCTAGAATTCATATAAAGTGTTGACATACAGCAGGAGGTCAATAGAAGGCTACTGTTCTACTTTTGAAAGAAGCCACTGGCAATTAACTTTAAGTTCATTTGAGCATCAAGGAACTCTGGATAGAAGACCTAATACAATGTGGCATCTCAGAATTGAAAAGATGAGGTGTATTTGAAAAAAAAAAGTTACATGCAAGAAAGAAGCTAAGAAGGGGCTAGAGAAATAGCCCAATGGTTAAGAGCACTAGTGCACTCCTAGAGGACCTGGGTTCAGTTCCCCGCACCTACACGGTGACTAGCAACTGTCTGTAACTCCAGTTCCAGGAAATCTGATGCCATCTTCTGGCCTTCACAGAGGTGCACCTTCATGCATGTAGGCAAAACATTCATGCACATAAAATATAAACAAATAATAAATTTTTAAATATTTTAAAAAGTAAGGAGCTGAGGAAAGAAAAGAGGGTTTGCAAAGAAATGAGTAGACAGATAAGCGGACCTTAGAAAATACTGAAATACATATGAAGAAAGAATAGGCCCAGAATAAGGCTCAGGATATATGAAAGAAGATGGTTCTAAGGGCTAAAAGAAGAGCCTAGGCTGAGGTTGCAATAAGAACACAAAAAAAAAGAATGAAGTTTCTCAAGATACTAAAAGAAAGGGAGCAAGTCCTATGGCATTGGCTAGAAAGACAATAAGAAGGATTTTCTAGGCCACAGATGAGGACACTGGCTGAGATGCTGCCAGGTACCTGTGGCTTTGGCTAAAAGGTTCTCCAGAATCTGAACAAAGAACTGTACCTAATTCCTCCTGATCCTCCTGAGGGACAAGGAACTAAGGATGGCCTTTTCACCTGGAATTACAGAGTAGAAGACTGTGTGCCTTGACAGAGAGACTTTATTACAGGTCAGAACCAAAGCAAACACTGGCCAACCAGCCAGGCTGTCCATCAGAAGGTGGGAAAGGTAAGGGTTCTTCATCACTGTTAATGGTGAGTAAGTGTGGTGTTGGTTCCACAACTGAAGCAAACCTAGCTCAAGAGAGCCATCATGTCCATGGACCACTCACATCAAACACCCTTTGAGTGACTGTCATAGTGAACCTTGATGACACTTAGAAAATGCACGGAAGTCCAGTCCCTGGATGAAGGCAGGAAGAGATAGCCCCACCTCCTCCTCCAAGATAAGAGTGGTAACAAATAAACCTTGGTCATTAAAAGAGAAAGACAACATGTCTTGCTTCATTTTGACAATCAACGGTCTACATAGTCCCCTTAGGCATTCTCTGGGATGAGAGGGGGAAAAATTTAAGAAAGATGTTTTACCACAGTTTTTTGTTTTGTTTTGTTTTAATGTGAGAAAGACACAAAGGGAAAATAATAACAAGCTGGGCACGGTGGCACACCTGTAATTCTAGCACTTAGGAGGCTGAGGCAGGATGACAAGTTCAAGGCCAGCCTGGGCTACAGAGTGAGACCCCGCCTGAAAAGAAAATGTTCTGGGTGCCAGCAAGATGGCTGAGTATGATGAAGACACTGGCTGCCAAACCTGATGGCCTGAGTTCCATCACCAGGACCCACATGGTGCAAGGAGTAAACTGATCCCTGCAACTTTCTCCCCCAACTCTGTTTGTATTTTTTAAATTATTTAATGTTTGAATCTTTAGCCATCTTCGTTTGTTGCTTCTCTCACTTCCAGTGTTAAATTCCATCATCTTATTAGTGAGATACTCCCCCAGTAAGATACTCTTACACACTAATAAGCACAAAGCTAGAACAGCCTATGGCGATCAGAGCAGTAAGCATCTACTGAGCACAGAGTGGTGACAGTCAGTCAGCCCCGGGCTTAACATTCCTGCTGATGAAGGCTCTGAGAAGAGACCCCAAAGAAAGCAAGAATACCTACCAGCACAGTCCTCCAGGGAGCACAAAGAGGTCTCTGAGGACATTCCAGGGCAGCCAGGTCTAGAGGGGAAGGAAGTGAGACACACACGGTGACGCTCTCTGACACCATCCCCACATGTGGCGCTACACTGGCTCCATGGCTGCCACGGTCCCCAAGTTTCTGCAAAGACATAAGTCAGGTTTTTAGTGCTAGTTCATCTGAGAATCAGTAGTGAACTGCACCCAAATGAAGCAGCAAAACTCAACTCCCCAGTCTTAAAAAGTCAGTAAGCAAAAATATTCTCGGAGATGCAAAAAGCTGGAGTATTGGTCCAAACCTTAAAACAGAAGTTGTAAAATCTATAAAATCTTTGCCAGGAGCTGGAGAGATGGCTCAATGGTTAAAAACATTGGCTGCTCTTGCAGAGGACCCAAGTTCAGTTCTGAGCACCCACATGACAGCTAACAACTGTCTGTAACTCCAGTTCCAGGGGATCCAACACCCTCTTCTGACGTCCGTGGGCATTGCACAACATGGGTGTACTTACCTACATGCAGACAATACACTCATATGCATAAAATAAAAATAATAAATAAAATTATTTTAAAAATCTTTGCCAAAGCTTTGCCTTCTTATAACCCACCAGAGAGCTGAGATCACAGGGCAACAGACCAGCCTGTAATAAAAGGAAAGGCAGTCCTCCAAGGAAAGAGGGGCTGCAACACTTGTCTGCCTGGGACAGATTCCAGGACCCACCCACACAAGCTGGTTGGAAGAACACATATAACGATGTAATGAATTGCTGAAAGGGTATGATGAGAACACAAAGCCCCTAGGAGGAATGTAATAGGAGAAATTTGTACCCACTTGCAGGCTCTTCTCTAGGGATCTTACCGAAAAGACTGAGGTCAAATCTAAGACTAGACAAAGCCTCTTCATGGTGCATATCTAAAGAGGGAATAGACACTGCACCTTAAATCCTTCCCTCCATGTCCTCTACAGAATAATAGCCTCAACCACTGAGGAAAAGATAGCAACTGCTGCCATAGAATGGAAAGAGAAAATGCCTTGCCCCTTTGGGGAGAGCTGGAAATGTCCTGGACCCACCCACTGTTAGAGGCCTTCCACCACTGTAGTGGACCAAAAAGAAGTGCTGCCTCATCCCTGAGACTCAGAGACGCAGCACTAGCCTCAGATGAGGTAGAATCAGCACACAAGAATGACTTCCCCTTACCAGGTTAGTGTATACCAAGTAGCAAATACCAACACCCCAGTGTCTGAAGAGAAGCTAGAGCTAGAGGTGAAACTTATCTGAGGGTTGGCAAGATGGTTCAGCAGGAAGAGTACTTGCCACCAAGCCTTATGATCTGAGTTCAATTCCCAGAATCCACAAGGTGGAAGGAGAAAACCAAGTCCTGCAAGTTGTCCTCTGACCTCTACATAGACAGACAGACAGACAGACAGACAGACACACACACACACACACACACACACAAATATAATAATTTAAACACACACACAAATATAATAATTTAAAAAAACCATCTGCCATGCAGGTTTAAGACTATAAATGAAGGTGGAATAGAGGCATGAGGAAAACCCCTTTAGTAATGCAATGTTTATCCTCACCACAAAGTAACACTGGAGAATACTGAAATCTGAGATGCACTGAAGGTAGCTGTAGCAACAGGAACAACTCAAACATGGTTCAATTCCTCATCACTTTAACCCAAAACCCACAAAAAAGCCTAAAGAAAGCAGAGGTACACTCATTTCCAGGATTAAATAATACTTACCTCAGAGTCTAGAGTTCCAAACATGATTTCCAGCTTTTAAACAATAATTCTGAGATGCACAGAAAAGCAAGGAAAAAATAAAATTCAAGAGACAAAATAATCAATAAAACCAGACTCAGAGATGACCCAGACATTACATATATAGAAAGAAAATTTTAAATAGTTAAGACTAATATGTTAAATTCAATCAAATAAAATGCATAAACAGATGAAAAATTTTCAACAGCACTATAAGTTGAAGAGCCAAATGGAGATGTTAGAATTATAAAAACCCAAGTCAGATGTGGTGGTGCATGCCTTTAATCCCAGCACTCAGGAAGCAAAGACAGGAGGATCTCTGTGAATTCGAGATTAGTCTGGTCTACATAGTGAGTTCCAGGCCTGTCGTCAGGGCGACATAATGAGACCCTGTCTCTAAATAAATAAATGAATAAATAAACAAATAAATAAATAAATACCACAACAACAATAACAACAAAAAAGGAATTATAAAAACCCAATAGCACAGATTTTTTTTTTAAAAAAACGCCTTCTACAGCCTCCTGGTAGGTTCAACACACTTGAAGAAAGGAACAATAAATGTGAGTGAGTATAGGTAACTAGAAGTGACTAACATGGAAACAGAAAGAGTACTCTCAGTAGACTATGTGCCCCAAAGCAAATGCTAGGACTGTGACACCCCCACCCCCATCCACAAGGACTGGGAGGTAAGACCTAAATGAGAAGTGTTTAGGTCCTAAAGATTCTGCCCTCATGAATGATTAATGCTGGCATCTGATGACACAGCAGAGGCAGTCTCCTTGACTTTGGATTTCCAACTTCTAGAACTGAAAATAAACCTCTGTTCTTTACAAATGATATAGGCTCAGATATTCTGTTATTTACAGCAGAAAAATAAGCTAAGGTAACAAGACTGAATAACTGTGGGTACCTGTGGGAGAAATCTGATAGTCCTTTGAACATGTAACTGGAATTCCAGGAGAAGAGCGAATAGGACAGAAAAAATGTTTGTAAAGACAATGTCTTAAAACTGTCCAAATTAATGAAAGATACTAAATGGCAGACTCTAGATGCTCAGCAAATGCCAAGCAGAGAAAATACAAATAACAACAAAAAATCCAAACAAAAACATGGAGAAACCTGGCTCCAGAAGGTGGCTTGGTGGGCAAAGGCACTTGCCATGCAAGCCGGGTAACAGTTCAGTCCCAGAACTGACATAAAGATGGAGAGAACAGACTTCACAAACTTGTCCTCTGACCTCCAAACCTGCAGTATGGTACAAATGCCCCCCTATAACGTATACAAACAGGCAATAATAATAAATAAATAATGTTTTTAAAACAGTAAGGGAGACTAGACAGATGGCTCAACAGTTAAGACCTGCTCTTGCAGAGGACTCAGGTTTGGTTCCCAGCACCCACATGGCAGCTAGCAACCATCTGTAATTCCAGTTCCAGGGGATCCAAACAACTCATACACATAAAATAAGTAAATAAATAAATAAATAAATAGGAGGAAAAAATGTTAAGAGCCCAGTACAATAGCTCAGTCAGTAAATGCACCTGCTGCCAAGCCTGACAGTCTGAGTTCAAACTGCAGGACACATAGAGAAGGAGAGAACTGACTCCCACAAGTTGTCCTCTGACCTTCTGTGGCAGTGTTCATGGTTGCACACACACACACACACACACACACACATTAAATAAATAACTAAAAAATATTTAAATCAAAGAAATATAAGATCTGGAGAGATGGCTCAGCAGTTAAGTGCACACCCACATCAGGCAACTCACAACCGCCTATAACTCCAGCTCCAAGGGGATCTGACACTTCTGGCCTCCAGGGATACCTGCACTCATGTGCACATAACCCCTCCCCTCCCCCCACACACATAATTTTTTAAAAAACATCAAACGGGGCTGGAGAGATGTTTCTGTAGTTAAGAGCACTGGCTGCTCTTGCAAAGGGCTCCAGGTTTGGTTCCCAGCACCCACATGGCAACTAACAATCATCCTTAACTCCAGTTCCAGGGGAGCCAACACCCTTTTCTGGCTTTCATAGTTATTGCATGCATGTGGTGCACTTACATACATGCAGGCAAAACACTCATACACATAAAGCACAAATTAAATAAATAAAATATCAAATAAATAATGTAGACACATAATATTCAAACTTCTGAAAACTAAAACCAAACAGGAACTTTTCATGGCTGTGGCTTGGAATTGGGAGAAAGAAAACAACACACTGAAAAATAAAGGTGAGAACTGCAGCGGATTTCTCATCAGAAACTGTACAGAAGTAAAGTCGCATCTCTAAAGAATTCCACACTCAGTAAATAGTAGCTCTCAAAAATAAAGGAAAAATAATCTTTTCAGGCAGACGCAAATTGAGAGCACTGATAATCAACAAGTCTTCACTATAAGAAATGTTAAGGGGACATATGTTCTCCCTCATATGTGGATCCTAGGATCAGACTCTGATAAATACAGCGGATTTGAAACTGTACAGAAGTAAAGTCGCATCTCTAAAGAATTCCACACTCAGTAAATAGTAGCTCTCAAAAATAAAGGAAAAATAATCTTTTCAGGCAGACGCAAATTGAGAGCACTGATAATCGATAATCAA